GCAAAAAAAAAATTGCTGCTGGAATTCAGGTCCTTTGAAGCCTCTCCATGGGCTCAGTAATGTCTGTACTATCTACAGCAGGAGGAAAGTGATGCTTAGTAGRGTTGGTTTCCTCTCWGTATTAGATATAACAGAAATACAGSAAGGTGGATTACAGACCAAGGTTTTGGCTGCCTTYTGCCTTCAGAACCTCTGACATATGCTGGGAAGAAAATCCCCTGGTGTCATTCTAGATCTCTGAAGTCAGCCTGGATTTGCAGTGAAACCATCATCAATGAGGAGCAAGGAAAAGCACAAGAAGGGACTCTCACATTTCATGAAACTCACGCGCTTGTAGAAGCACTCCTATTGCAGGAAAGAGCCCTGCTTCCAAAGAAGGGATCCTCTGATCTGCCTTGCATATGCAAAGTTTCAGCACTGAAACMCTCAAGCAGAGCTGTGGTTTTTTTCTAGATTACATTCACAGAAGGACTCTGAATCAGCAGCGTGCATCGCTGAGCCATACCCACTCCTTATTAAATTCCTCCAATGACAATTTTACTGGTATTTTATATTAGTGCTAACAAAGGACCTGAATAAGATGTAAGAAATGTTATATTTTAAATAAAAGTCCAGGTAATGCGCCACTGGGGACCTCAGGATCAAATGAGCTTTTATATTTTTATGTAGAATGTAATCACTTTTTTCATTATTGTGGTTGCTACATTACTGTTATTAAAGAGTTTATTACCCTGTGGGGGATACTGCTCATTGGAATTATGTGCCTGCAGACCAGCAGAGACAGTGTGGCTTCAACMCTTAATTCATGACACAGCCACAGGACAACAAAATGTCAGCGCCCTGGGWCTGGTGTGCCATGCTGGGCACCCAGAATAATCCTGCTGGTACCAGGAAGTCAGAGACACACGCAGCTGGAACTGGAAAATCATTGCTATGTGATCATCTGATTTGCAGGCCTTTAGTACATGCTGAGTTTCTAGCAGATTTCCAGGGAAACTGGCCAAAATAGAGCATGTAGGGAGAGGGCAAATTGGCCAAAAAAAAAAAAAAAATGGCAAGATATTACAAGAAATGGAAAATTACCTAACGGGCCACTTATCCCTATTCAAACTTTGGAAAACCTTAGAACTTCTCCCTAGACTGCAACACAGCTATCATTTATTACCAAGGTGACCTTTATCCCTCTCCTGACAGCACTGTGCTCTCATCAGAAGCATTTTTTGAGAGGAGTCGATTTATTAGAAGACCCACTGAAGCCCCACTTTAGAAGGATCCCCACTGATTTCTATCTCAGCAAGCACCACAGCGAACGTGACAGACAAAAAGGGACATTCTGGGGCATGCTGGCTCCTCATATGTCAAATACCTGTTCTTCTGCCTCTCTGCACTCGTGAGATTGCCACAGAGGAGGGTGGCTCATTCCACCAGGTTTGAGTTTCTACACCTCCCACAGTCCCAGGATAATCACACAGTTAAATGGACACATCCARGAAAGCAAACATTATTACTGAAGTCCCCTCTTTGGGACTCCTGTGATGTTTAAGCATGGGTGGTGCTGTTCCTTGGAATTTTTCTTGTTTCCAAAAGGGAAGATACACACATACAGTGGTTAACACTGGAATGCAAAACATCTAGAGATAAGTCCATTAAGTGTGTCCAGATCATTACCTGGTGCTTCACTGAGACAAGGAAGGAATCTCTGTGAGGAAGCTGGACAGGAATGCTCCATCAAACGATCTTAAAGGAAGCAAGTGATCTATACTGCCCAAAARGGTCACAGAAGATGACAATAAATAGGTCTCTCTCCTCGTCTCATAATTAGGAAAATCATTGCTTCATTTTCTATGACAAATTGTTAAATGAATACCTGTCCTGAGCACAGGAGGAAATGATTCTTCAGTTCCACATACAGTGGCTTCTCTTTTTCCATGCCATGGTGGAATCAGTGGTCCCGAGTATGCAAAATCCATACATATCATTGCAACACAGGAAAACTGAATATCCTGGGACACATATACTCATGAGGGCATTATCCAGCGTATTGCCATTTATCAAATCTGTCTTTCAAGGAGCTGATCTTAGATTTCATGCCTAATTAGAGCATGTGCACGAAGCGAACTCAGCCTTTACACAGCCCCACAATGGGAGGCACTCCCTGCCCTCGMAGCCCCAGTCACACATCACACACCGTGCAGCCCATAAACCCTGTCACACACTAATGAGATCCAAATAACACAGAATCCACAAAGTAGGARCATCTGTAGTCAGACTATTTAGCTTAAGTCACAAGGATTAACAATCCCCATGGCTCTAGGAATACCCWAACCATGAACAGGGATCGCACAATTGTGGTCATCTCGCACTGCCTGGCTGACCAAGAGATTTTAATTTTCTTTTGGGATAGATATTGGATCTTACAGACCACTGGTYTGCTGCCTTATAAAATGAAAGAATTCCCCAGCCCCTGTATTATCTCTGTCCCCTCATTATGTCCTTTTTCGTGTGTAAGAGGCAGGAAAATAATGCTTTAGTGTGAAAAATTCAGCATTAAAAAGAAAAAGCAAAAAGCTATCTCAAGGCCWAAGAAAAGCTCCTGGACAAAGCTTTGGTTTTCATTTTAATGACTATTCCACAACCTTGTTTAACAAAATCCTCTGACTAGGAGATAACCTAACAAATCCAAGCATATCTGCAAATRCAGTATTAGAAATAGATTACAAAATGTCTTCAACTAGCTTCTAATAGAAAAAAAAAATAAAAAAAGAAAGCTCAAAATTCTGGATGAACAGGTTGCAATATTCCCTTTTTTCCCAGATATTTTATAAGATTATTAGAAATCTGATAATGAAACAGCACTTTTTAAACCCCCACTATCATACTGCATTTCCAACACATATATATATATATATATATATATGGGTTCTGAAGTTTAATAGATAGATTATTTTGTTATCTTTTTTTTTAAGGAACAAGAAGAAATGATAAGATTCTTTTCACTGACTTCCACAGGCTTCCATAGATCACCCAAGAGAGCACCACAGAAGAACAGCATTTCAATAATCCCTACTTTGAGTAATAGTTTGAACATAAAAGATTACTGTGCTGAAGGCAGCCAGTGGACATATTTCATACTATCACGGTAGCTTTCTTTCTTATCACTTTATTCTGTGATATCATCTCCCTGGGAAAAAATAAGACTGTATGATATTTCTGTCTCCTGGAGTTGAGAGGAGCAGAACGATTCTATCTGGTTTAATACATGATAGTGCTCTCACATCAGTTTTCCGTGAAAATGTAGAAAATCCAAGGGAAGGATTTCAAGGAAAGCAGCCCACATGCAGTGCTTGTCCTGGGTGTGTTTGGCTTTCCCTTTTTCTTCAGGCTTTCCAGCACTGCCAGAGAGCGCTGGCCTAATTCTATAGTAAGAAAAATCGTAAATCTGCATGAAGTTCATGATGATTAGTTTCTCTTGGAGCTGGGCCAAGGAATAAGCCTTTCTCCAATACAGACTCCCCATGCTGGCTCTGTCAAGAATTCATTTATTAATCCTTTCGATCAAGCCTGGATTAAGCCATCCAGGGGCCCTAATGACATCGAGTAACTCTGTGCCTTGAGGTTCACCCCCCAGGTGAGGAATCTGCAGAGCAGCAAGCTGAGGTTACCCTGAGCAGAGTCCCTGTTCATCTTTCCTGAATCCTCGCACACTTGGGCCAGGTTATCCCAGCTCAGGCATCACCTGTGCCCTTGTGGGGACTCACAGGTTGTGCTGAGTTTGAGGCCAGGACAAACCACACAACCACAGGACTGACTGAGGGGTACAACGTGTTGGAAAGGATAATGGAACCAAAGAGGAGAAGATCAGGTCTAAGAAATCCAGTGGTCAACCTAAGAGTTCTTTTACTCCTACCCTTTTATTCTAGAAGTACAGCCACAAACAGATTTTAGCAGCTACTCAATGTGTAAAAATCTACAGACTTCCCCATGCATAGCATTATTTTTWTATCAAAGGCAATCATACTTTGATTCAGCTTCTACTTCCTATAAGCTGACTTAAAACTCTGTCACTCCATTTCCTAAATGTTCAGCTGAAAATTGCTTTCTTTGGCTTTTAGCCCCTCCGAGTTCCACTGTTTAAATTCTTTGTCTTTCACTTCAAAATCCAGATTTAAAAGTTGATATTCTACTTCAGAAGCAAGATTAAGCTAAAAAAAAACCCTAATTTTTACCTTCTTTTATCTATTTGGCTATTCCATTTCAAGAGAATTAGCTGCTGTAAAAGTCCCACCTGGTCTGACTTGCCTCCAAGGTTAATTCTCCTCTCAAAACCCTCTCCCCCTTCCTGCCACATCCCCCTCTCCAATCCAGGCGAGATTTGTTGCAAACATTTCACAGAGCTCTAGCGTTGTGTGAACTCTTGCAGAATTGTTGTTGTTCCAGGAGTGTCCTGGGGGATTTTCAGAGCTGCTGTGAGACAGTGATATCCCTGGTGGAGCTCTAATAGACTGTCACTGTTTCCAGGGGGAACAATGAAGGTCAGACACGCCGGCTAACCTGTGTTAACACAAAACTTCCTCACTCTGCTCGGGAGCAGCTCTGCAATAACACCGTGCCCAGGTACCCCCGTGTGCCATTTCATACAGATCACATCCAATCAGCCCAAATAATGCAGKTTTTTTGCTCCAGCCCAGTCTCTGGTGAATCCACTCAGCAACCCCACAGGATGTGCTGCTCCAGTGGCTCTGTCAGACAGAGCCAAAGGATGGGCAGGGAGATGCAGGGCAGGAGGAAAGTTCCCTGCTCAGTCTGTCCCAGCTCAGCCCTGAGCCCTGCTGTCACCCTGCAGCACACCCCTGCCACTGGCTGTTTGAGCACTTGCTTTTATAACCTGAGCAACTAACCCCTGTTTATTCATTTTAACTCCTTGTATGCCAAGTCCTCTAAAAAAATTGATTTTTTCATCATGCTACCCCCTTATTTTGGTTTTGGGGTTTGCTTTTTACCTTTTRTTTGGAGTTCTTCCAGAAGAAGAAGGCTGTGCATGTTCACAACACGGCAAAGAACAGTGGAGGAGTTTTGTACTCTCTGCATGCTGAAAGTGAGATTCTGCTGAACAGAACAGCAGAAAATTCAGGGGACACTGACCCAGGAGTCACTGCCATCCTCCTTCACTGAATACTCTGTAAAAGAAAAATGTTTTTCTGACAATGTGTGCATTTCCAGGTGATAACCAACGTTTTATTTTAACACATCTGTAAGCATCTGTTGATATTTCACTTCCCGACGCAAAAAACTGCAGGAGCAAGTGAAAAGCTGGGAAGGAAAGAGGAGATTGAGAAGTTTTAACAGGAAAAACTGCAATTCATAAATATTATGACTACAAGGGAAAATGAGCCACAGCTTGATCACACAACAAGAATAGCAATTAGGAGCAATTGTTGAATTTAGTTTAGGTATGCAGCATACGTAGGTAAATACACTGAATGCTAATGGTTTTATAATAGTCTTATTAATTCACACACATAGTTAATGTTTAAGATAAACTCCCCATCTTTAGAGTAATTTATGCATTCCACTTTTATAGAATTCCAATTGAATGAATATGAACATAATCATTTTGCACAAATGTTCTCTAAGGAGTGTGCAGAGAGTCTGAGGCAATGCTGAGGCTCCCCACAGCTTTATTCATAATGGATCAGTCTATTCATTCCTTATTAATTTAATGGAGTACAACTGAGCAGTCTAGCAGCTTGAGCTTATGAGTGTTTCACAAATGGGGCTTTTTGCCTGTAATCGCTTAATCCTACTGGCTAGGCCTCATAAATTGAATAAAGGAGCGAACTAGGTTTTAATTAAGTCTAAGGAATGAGCTTGTCTGAAAGATACTTCAACCTCTTAAGATCACAGTGCTGAAGTGTGTTTGTCCAGGAGCCTAGCAGGGGCAAGCATCCTGGGCTGCTCAGGTTAGAGACCAGTTGCTTTGATGTAAAGTATTTGTTAATACCTTTTTTTTCCCTTTAATTAAAAATCCGTYCTCCACTGTCAGTACCATCCCAGAGCACAAGTGAGAGAAGTGCAGCAAACCTGACCGGTTCTGGAAAAGAAAGAGGTTTGGGAATCATTCCTTCTAAGTTCATAAAGCAGCTCACACTAGAAAAAAAACCCCACAGATTGACACGAACAAACAGGGAAGAAAACACCRGGCCCTATTATTTTCGAAACGCTCTCCCTTGGGGCTCAGTGCCCCTGGTTAAACACGGCTCAGGCAGATTCCATGAGGAAAAAAATGCAAAACTGTGAGCCAGACCCTCATCCCTTTCAGGGGTCCTGCACTTCTGGGCAGAGGTAGCAAACTGACACCTGTCCCCACGGGTCACCCCATGCCACGATTTGTCTCCTTGGATTTCCAAGCACCAGCTGAGGAGGATGGATTTGGTTCTGACTTCTTGCAACTCTTGACAGGATACATGAACTAAAAATTCTCTCCTTAGAGGCCCAGTCCTGTAAATCTTTTCTAAGGAAAACAGAAAAATTGCRTCTCTTGAAAAATGTATTTGCAGCCAGTTTCTTTTAAAATTCAGCRGCTGGAGAAACTGAATTTTGGACTCTGGTGGGCTGTCTGGAGTACTTGCACTGGATAAAGCAGAGATGCTTGGCATTGAACTTAGTGAACAGCTACAGACTGAAAAGAAAATAAGTACTGAACTCAGAGAAAATATATAGAAAACGTGGTTAAGCAAACACAGAATCCTCATCACATTGTTAATTGTTAAAGTTAATGCATATTTCCTTTTTCATCATCCTGCAAAGGAAAAAGTCACAGCAGGTATAGATATTAAATGTGCATAAGAATTAGTCCTAAAGTGCTAATTTGTGTCTTTCCTTGAAAAACACGTTTACAGTTTCTGTGAACACGTAGCACTGATGACAAGACAGGCACCAGGGCAGGCAATCTCATAGGATCAGCACCCAGGAAAGGGCAGAAAAAGGGCAGAGAAAGGGCCCTCCCGTCCCATTTGTGATCCATGGGATGTTCTGTAACAGTCACAAGTGATTCTGATCCCTTACAAATCTCTGCTGCTCTCTGAGGTGATGTGCAGCAAGCTGGGATCACTCATTTGGAAAAGAGAGGGAACAATTAACAGCCCACAGCGATGGGGTCAGGACAGAGCCCAGATGTTCATAAACGCATTCAAACAAAATCTACTTTGGGAGGGAGGCACAAAAGCCAGGTAASCATTCATACCTCTGTCACATAGCTGTGAAATCATCAGAACACCAATGCCCAATGGTTTTGGAGAGAGGTGACCACCACAGGCTGGTGATCAGCATGGCCAGGCCAATCCCACACTGGTCACTGAGTGTCCATCTGCAATTCACATCAGCAAAAGGCACAGCCAGGTGGGACACCAGGCCTGGCAGGCCAACAGACTTTTTCACATTCCCACAATATGACAGAACACAAAAATAATCAAAGCACAATTTGCATCAGCACCAGTGGTGAAAAATAGGATGCCAGCATTGTCTAGCACAACAGCTGTTCGGCATCTGAATGAAATACTGTATCCACTATTCACCCATCTCATAACATCCTTTTTGTAAGCCTCAGAGGTCACCTAAACACATTTATTGACTTCATTATTTTTATATAGGGAGAAAAAAATGATGGTGCTACAGAGCTGAGCAAATAACTCACAATAAAATCTTTATTCAATATATTTCATCTTTTTTTACTGTTCCTGCAACACAGTGAAATTCTTACATTTAGCCATTATCTAAAAAACACTATCTGAGAATTTCTGCAGTAAATTTTTTTATGCTACAAGATGTTGCTGGAAAGTTCAGAGTGAATGTTTGCCATTACAACTGTGTTTATTATTTAGATAAACCATGCAGCACTGTTTCTTTTTTCCAACTGACTTATATAATTCATAGTACAACACAACTTGTGAATTTTACTGGTAAGGGTACAAGACAAATCCATGAACAGTTGCTTAGAGTGGCTCAGATTCTAGGACTTGTCAATAATTAATTTCATGGGGAGTAAAATTAAAAGTAACTTGAAAGGATCACATCCCAAATGTCCTGTCCAGAGGAAACAGAGACCAGAAAAAGTGATAGCAATGCACAAATCAGAGGTTGATTAGTTGTACATATTCTAAAATAAAACTCCCTGTGGCATTTTATTTGAGAACCTGGATATATTTGGTGGCCTTCTTTATTTTTTTAAAAAAATATTTCATTTCACTGAGCAAACCATTTCACTCATATCCTGAGTGGGAGACAGCCAAATCTCCTCAGATGCTATCAGTTACCCCAGCCCCTTGGCAAAAATCTGGTGACACCTTAGCTGATGAATGTATGAAAGGAGAGAATATAAATAACGTTCCTGAAACTGATACTTTTTGCACGAAAAGTGCAGCCTGTTACACACTCAGGTAAGGTACATTATTAGGATTTTTAGCAACACGGTTCCTGCTGGCAGAGATGGGTACTAATATCACAATATGCAGCTCTGAAAAGCCAATTTGCTCCAGTGAGCTCCTCTTTGGATCTTGTTTTGAAGCAGACCAAGGAGCTGAGACAACCCCGAGCACAGCCATGCACCTCTCATAATGCTCACAGGGATGAGGCTCTTCAAACTGAATGGGGTCTCAAATTTGCCTGAGAATGCTTTGCCTGTTCTTATTGAAACAAATGAAGCAACAAGTGAGGCACATAGCTGATCATGAGGACAAAAATGACTCAAAGCAAGCCCCCCACTGGCTCGCACAGAGGGATGGCTCATTGGCTGTAAGGAGGAACAGCAAAGATGCAAATTGCACTGGGGACAGGAGGATGCTGAGCTCYGTGTGTATGGACAAGTTTCATCCTTTAACTGTGCACGGGGGATCGTTCTGATGTCTGCTCAAAAGGATTTCAGTCACGAGCCCTGTGTAAAAAATGCCTCTTCTATGACGGGGAGATGCAACAACTTCTAAGGCCCTGAATGAAAAGCTAAGTCTTATCCAAACGTCCTCTGGATTTTCATGCATTTCTGACYACATTAAATTTGCATAATGAGCCCAGGAGATCTAAGTGAAGCATCACTTGATTTCTTTAATTGCCAGAAATACACCACAGGAACCAGACTGTGACATGATATTGTGGTAYGAGAATGCCACAAGGAGCTACCACATTCTCAGGGTGGGTTCCTCTGTACCCAACCATGAGCAACTCTATGAACTACAGTCAAGTTCTAAACTTTCTGCCATTAAATATAAAAATACAGGTCTAGCTCTGTTTCCATCTCACGGAGACCCTGCTGCCGCATCATTTCCAAGGTTTTGGTACAAGAGAGAGCTCAAAAACCTGAAAGGGATAAAAACACTTTGATGTAACCTGCATCTGGGAATGGCAGAGAGAAGCTCTGACACAGAGGACATCCACACTCCACAGTGTTTCTATCACTGATACCCAAGTGTTATGACACTGTCAATCTCACTTTCTTTACAATCCCATGCACCTCTTAGCACCACAAGTGATTTTCCAGATGATTGCTTGGCAGAGGTTCAACAGAGGTGCCCATGCACCCATGTTCCTGTTCCAGCGGACGCTCTTCCCACAACAGAACAAAATGGATTTGTCCCTCTAATGAACCCCTCTTGATCTGGCACACGGCAGGGTGTTTTTTCTAGCAGCCACATGTGTCTCTCAGTTTGCCCAGCCAGTGGAACCGCTCCCTTTTGTGGGCAACCTCAAAAGAAYGAAACAAATCGGGGAAGAGACTGAAGTGAAGCACATGGAATATTTTCCTTTCTATCTGGAGAGCCTTTCAGGGAGACTTCAGGGTGACACACAATAAAAACAAGGTTAAAATCCCTRCTTCCATGAAATCAATGGGATTTTTGCCATTGACTTCAGAGTAACAACAATTTCTTTGTGAAATACTTTGAAAAAGGCTGCACCCAGTCCWGTTCAGTACCATTACCCAGCGTATCAGCACTGGCTGCTGCTGATTTGCACCAGCCAGGAATCTGATCCCTGTGCTGCAGAGATTCACCCTCTCTCAGCCCTCATTGTTACTCACCAGCCTGAGCCCGTGCTGCAGATAAATAGTGGRCTTTAATCCCCAGGACTCTCAATCCAATGCCTTTCACCACTGCCAGATTCACATTTTGTTTTGTTTTGTTAATACGAG